CGCTGGAATCCAGTCGGCCCGGGACCCAGGGCCCATAACTAAGCCACCGCTCACCCTGGACCCTGACCCAGAGAGGGCAACCCCCAGCACCTACTGCAGAGCCTCGGGCCTGGGTGGGGGTGCCTACCTGCCGGCTTGGAAGCCAGGGGCGAGGGCGGGAACCTGGTGGAGTTGGTGGAGGAGAGCCGGGGCCGGCGCCGTCGGAAGAAGCTCCTGAGCAGCCCGCACTTGAGCGACTCCACCAGCGTGGTTTTCCCCGAGCCCGAGTGGCCGAACAGCTTCAGTTTGATTCTGGGCTGCAGGTTCTGTGTGGGCCGCAGCTGCTGGATGAAGAGGCTTCGGTGCGTGTCCTGAGCAGATGACAGAGGGCCTGTTAGTCACCACCAAAGGGACGGCCCGAGCAGGCGGCGGTGCTGGTTCCCAGGGCTCCGCACCCCTGGCCGGGTCCTCCTGGCCGGACATTCTCACCCATTTTGTCCTGTCCTCAATACATGTTTGCAAAATTCACGTAAAGTGCACGTAACATACAATTCACCACCTTAACCATTTCGAAGAGTACCATTCAGAGGCTTTAGGACATTCACCATGTCGTACAACCAGCTGATCTAATCAATCCTCGTTCTCTCAGTTCCCTCGGATCTCTCGCTTCTCTCCTTCTCTCAATTTGCCTAAGAGCCGAGCCTAGTCCCAGAGTGCCCAGCCTCGTCCAGGAGGTTGGAGCCTGGCGTAGCCCCAAGGAGTGGAGTTGAGGCCTGAAGAGGTAGAGCTGGTCCCGAAATGGTGCGCCTACACCCGGAGCCCAACGTAGCCCGTAGCCCGGTAGAGCTGAGCCCGGACCGGAAGGGCGGAGCCAAGACCCTCAGAGCACCTGGCTCAGGTGGGATGTTCCATGAAGAGGGTGGTGTAAATGATTCACCTCAGGTGCACCCCGTAAGAGCGTGCCCGAGGCAAGCGCCTCCTTTTTCGGTGTCAGTGTGATCGCAGACCTGGCCAGACCACTGCTTCCAGTTCTAAATCCTGGGAGGCGCTGACTGACTACCCGGCCAGTTAACTTTCCCCGCTAACAGCCAAGCAAGCTCATCTAACAGACTCAGGACTCTCCTTTAGGCTGCGAAGTTCCCACCTGTTTTCTATTGAAGTGTGACCCTTCTTTCTCCACAGGGCCACACTGCCCCCTGGCGGGCAGGTAAGCCACCTACAGAGACATTTTTAGCTCTTACGTTGGGGGGCGCTTCTGGCAGTGGGCCCCAGGTGCCCAGATGTGTATGAACATGGTCCTGAGCAGTAAGAATTCCCCTGGGCTGATTTCTGAGTGTCTGCTGGGCATTTATATAGGAAATAAACCTGTTTATAAGATCTGAACTTAGGACTTACCTGCATCACTTTACATATGACCCAGAGGGGTTTTAGGGGAGGCTGGAGAGGGGGCATGGTTTAATACATACCGAGTTTTCCAAGAATGTAACTACTTTATAAATTGGTGGAAATATGTATATATATATAATTTTGATCTTTCATGAGCTCTGTCCTTGCATTTCTGATAAGCATGCCCGCAGTCGCTGCAGTGTTTGAGTTGCCATCCCAGCCCACTGATACCCTCGGGCGTCTGCAGGGTGATTCCGTGGGTGGGTCAGAGTATCTGCCGATTTCAATACATCCCCTCACGCCCTGTGTCCCTGACCTGGAATCCAACCAGCATCCTCTTGGTGCATGGGACAACGCTCAACCAACTGAGCTACACTGGCCAGGGCTCTATTCATCTTTTAAAATTCCCTGAGTAGGTACGTTGTTATCTGTGACTGTCATTTCAGGAGGGTGAAGAAGGCATCACTAAATGTGGCTGCACAATGCTGGACTGGCTAGGGCTGCAAACCACGGCTTGGACGGCGATGTGTAGAGCATGAGGTTGTTCTTACACCGATTTCTTCCTCTAGCCTCAGAGTGCGGCGGAGGATAAAAAGGCTGGGATTTGCCAGCAATTTCCTTGAATTATTATCCAAGTCGGCACGAAAGCTGAGAAGGTTCTATCCTGAGACAGTAACTTATCGGGGTGGTGCTGACCAGGCTGGGAGGAGCGGGGTGTGGAGATCTCCTCGGTGCCGCCTGCTCTTGCAGATAAGCCCATGACGCCCCGAAGCAAAGTTACCTTCCCTCGTTTTAATTTAAGCTTCAAAACCAGCCCTTCCATCTTCCCTTTAAATCAGCCCGCCCTGCCCTGTGTGGCGAGCATCTGAGTTGCAGTCGGTGTCCGTGGGCATCACCTCCCATTCTGAGCATCTCAGGGAGTTAGACTAGAAGGGTCTCTGCCTATTTCGTGACACACAGCCTCCTAACACACAGGTTCTCTGTGTGGAGCCAGCGTCTGCTCCTGCTGAGACAGGGAAGGCAGCAAACCTGCTCCGGCTCTCATCCAATCACTGGACCTGGGTGCACCGTGCAACCAGTGAGCTCATGGCTCTTTTCTGTCTGTTTCCTGCCCTGTTGCCCTTGACACTTTGGCCAGCACGTCTGTCCTGTGGGAAGGAATGGGGGCCTGTTCTTCTCGCCTGCATGAGTTTTACAGGCCCTTTCACTTGAACCGTAGTCCCCTTCGCGCCCCCCCCCCCCCCCATAGTGCGGCCCTGGTGGGCTTCCAGAAGCTTCCCTGAACCAAGGCTTTGCTCTCCTTCGAATTCCACGCAGGGAGTTGGTGGCCGGAGGCAGCTGGCGATCTGCCTGCCTGTTTTCTGGACCAGCCACAGACACGGAGCCGAGAGGGAAGAGGCAGCTGGTGGGAAGACTATCTGTCCTACCTCCAGTACGGACCTCAGAGCCCTCAAGGTCTCGACCTTGGGCTGTGTCCTTGGCCCCTGGTTTTAGCAAGAATCCTGTTGGATTGGTTTAGTGACAATCCCTTCTCCTGAGTTGGTATCTGATGAAATTGCTCACTCCCATCCGTGATATCTGATCACCTGGCCTGCCCTCAGTGGGAATCCTGCTCAGTCTGTGCACTGTGACCTTTAAAACGTCCTATTCCCCTGCTTCTTCAACATCCGCACGGGCCAGCTGCCCAGGACGGCCAGTGTGATATGGTGTTTACCGCCTCAAGTTCCTCTTCCTGTCCCCCTAACAGTGACATCCCTGATGCCTGTTTTGTGTACCTGCCCTGACCCCCAATAAAGGCCCTCGCCCCGGGTCTTCTCTGCCCTGTGACCTCCTCTTGGCCCCTGTCTCTCTGGGACTAGTGAGTAGAAGAAACTTTGTTTTCTCCTGAGCCTCCCCTCTGCCTCCTTTAGGGGCCGCACCTGGCTGACTGTCTCATAGAAGAACCCAAAGCAAGAGCCCCTCGTTCTGATGTTTCCTCAGCAACTTCCCATCCATAGACCCCGCCCTGCTCCTTGGCTAGTAATCTCTTCCTGTCCTTGTTGGAGTCAGAGCCTCTTTTCCTATGCAAATGACTTGGATTGCTGGCCTGTGTGCATCTCGGGTCCTCAGGGAGCTGAGGGAGCTTAGGGCAGTGGTTCTCAACCTTGGCTGCACATTAGAATCACCTGGGAATCTTTTTAAAATCCTGATTTCTGGGCCTCATCCTCCGGAAATTCTGTTTCTTTGTTACTAATGTTGTGGCCCCACCCCATAACAAACTGTTCCCTGCCCTCTCCAGTAGCTCTCGGCCTCCTATAGGACCTGCCCCGAGCCCCAAGTCTAAGCACCGGCTGAAGGGCGCGGTTGCACCCGGGAGACTTACTAGTAATCTGGTCACCCTCAGTTTAATTTTATCAAGATTCTACTTTCAGATTCTCCCAGGTGTGGAAAATTGACACCAAGGAAGATGAATGGAGCTGTTCCTTCTGAGAGCGAGGGTTGAGCAGCGATAAAATCACTTCGAGGGACGCCATAGGCCACTTGATGTGTGGCTGGTTCAGTTTAGCTCACGGACTCCTCGGCATAATCCTCACACCCAGTGAGATTTACAAAAATTCCAGATCATAGATCCAAAGAGATCTCTTTGTGTTCTCTCTCCCTCTCTCATACACGCAAGCATGCATGCAGTGTCCTTCCCTCCCCACCCCAGCAACAATGGTTCAGTGACCTTAACCACAGCAGGAGAGACCTGGCTCCAAGAATGACATCGTGAGCTGTCAGAGAAGCTGACCTTGAGCTAGAAACACTGGCCAGGCTCATACACAGGGGCTGAACATCATTAAATCTGGAAAACTAATGGCTTTAGAGAAAGTACAACCCTTCTTTTTTTTTTTTAATATATTTTATTGATTTTTTACAGAGAGGAAGGGAGAGAGAGATAGAGAGTTAGAAACATCGATGAGAGAGAAACATCGATCAGCTGCCTCCTGCACATCTCCTACTGGGGATGTGCCCGCAACCAAGGTACATGCCCTTGACCGGAATCGAACCTAGGACCTTTCAGTCCGCAGGCCGACGCTCTATCCACTGAGCCAAACTGGTTTCGGCTAGTACAACCCTTCTTATATACATATACATATCCTCAAACTGAGCCAAAACGACAGTGGAAGATGGAAAACATTGTGCATGAAAATGTTCTTACTCCAACAGAGTTAAGTATCATTAAAAGATAAATACCATATTATCTCACTCTTATGTGGCATCCAAGGGACAGATTAAATGGACACAAAACAGAACCGGAGGGAAGGGGTGGGAGTAGGGAACTGGCCAATGGACGCAGACAACAGAATGGTGAAGGCCAGGGGAGGGGAGGCAGGGGCTGGGTAGTGGTGGGCAAAGGGGGGTAAAATGGGGGACGTCTGCAATACTGCCAAAACAATAAATAAATAAGCACTATGCATGACTCACAAGCCAGACACTTCATGAACTGCCAGCCGACAAGCACTCTTGGCAATCCACCAGGTCCAGTCCTCCTTTGACTGCAAGTAGCCAGGTGGTCTTCACTAGCAGGCATTACTCTATTTTTATTGCAATTTGTGGTTTTATGGTTGCGTGTGCTTAACTCTATTATCTTGGGTCAAATAATGATTTCTAAGGCCCCTTTTTAATCTAGCAATCCTACATGTGTGTGCTCAACTTTTCTAAAATGTGAATTTTTTCCTTATTAAAATAATTGCCCTTGCCCTGGCTGTTATGTCTAGGTGGTTAGAGCATCTCCCCGAGGAATGGAGGGTCATGGGTTCAATTCCCAGTCAGGTGCACATACTTGGGTTGCAGGTTGATCTTGGCCCCCAACGGGCATGCACGGGAGGCAACCAATCCATGTTTCTCTCACATTGATGTTTTTCTCTCTCCCCTCCTCCCACCCCTCCACTCTCTAAAAATCAAGCAGAAAAATATCCTCAGATGGATTAACAAAAAACACAAAATTGACCTTTGTCCTTACATATAGTTTGTCAAATTTTGCTCCATTCAAGGGTTGGGTCAGACACAGCCAATAGACAACTGACATAAGATCTGCATATTTAGTATTGATAACTAGAGGACCCAGCAGGCCACCCAGCCATTGTCCTAATGGACCACTGGCACCTTCAGTTGTCTTTAGGGCCCAATTACATTTTTGTCTTTTGCAAGTAAATGTATTAAGAACAGAAAGAACCCCATCTCTACATACAAAATTAAGTTTTAGCGGCTCAACTGGTGGAGCATTGTCCCGTACACCAAAAGGTTTCAGGTTCAATCCCCAGACGCAGCACGTACCAGAGGTAACTGACCCATGTTTCTCTCCCACATTGATGTTTCTTTCTCTCTCTACCCCTTCCTCTCTCTCTAAAATCAATAAATATATCCTTGGGCAAGGACTAAAAATAATAAAAATTAAGTTTTATTTTAAAAAGTAAAAATTTATATATCCTTATAAAGGAAGTGGTAACATTTTAACCAACATAAAACATCACAGAATGCAAATCACAGTTTGGAGCTTCAAGATTCAAGTGTTGTATCCCATTAAGTGAAATGTGGTCAGTTTTAAGATAAGAATTCCTCCTCTGGATATCCTGTTCTCCATCAAGTCTTTCCTTATCACCATCATCTCACACAGTAGGATAGCTGGCCGCGGTGGCGATTCCACAGTGGTTGTTCCGGTCTTTGGCCATCTTTATGTAGCCATTCTTGCCCCAAGTTCCACCCCAGCTGAAAGAAGAGAGGATTTTCCATTTGACACAAATAATCAACACATTTACTTTTATTAACAACTACACCTGATACTTAAACAGTGCACCAGAGAGGCCCAAACAGATTCAGGAGGAATCAGGAGGCGGTTCTAGTTCTTGGCTGAGTTCTAAGCCTGCACAGAACTTCTCTCCCCAAACCTTTCACAGAACTGCAAAATTAGAGAAAAAAAGGAACTCTTGGGGCCAGATGTGTTTCAGAATTAAGAAAATTTTCAAATTTAGAAATGTAATGGCACAAAAACTATATCGATTCTCTGAGCTGAGGGAGAATCTTCACATTATAATCACACATTCATATGCTGTGTTCCTTAAGTGGGATAAAGATTTCCGGAATTTCAGCAGAAGTCTTCATCCCACTTAAGGAACACACAGGCATGCGAATGTGTGATCATAACATTAAATTACGGCCCTAGCCGATTTTGCTCAGTGGTTAAGAGCATCAGCCCACGAGTTCCATTCTGGTCAAGGGCACATACCTCGGTTGCAGGCAGGTGTGGGAGGCAACCAATCAATGTGTCTCTCACATATCAATATTTCTTTGTCTCTCCCCCTCCCTTCCACTCTCTCCAGAAAAATCAATGCAGCCTTGTCTGGTTTGGCTCAATGGATAGAGCATCGGCCTGCAGACTGAAGGGTTCCGGGTTTGATTCCAGTCAAGGGCACATGCCTGGGTTGCAGGCTCACCCCAGTAGGGGGCGTGCAGGAGGCAGCCAATCAACGTTTCTCTTTCATCTCTCTCTCTCCCTCTCCCTTCCTCTCTGAAATCAATAAAAATATATTTTAAAAATAAATAAAATTTAAAAATCAATTCAAGAAAAAAAATTCCTCCAGTGAGGATTAACAAAAAAATAAAATAAACAGGGCTATAGAAAGAAAAAAAAAAGACTTCTGGAATTTCAGAAGTATGCTGAAGAGTTTGAAGACCTGTATCCAAATACTGATTCTAAAAATGTCTCCCTTTTCAAATGTAAGTATCTTTAGCAGTTTATACCTGTTCTTGACAATCCAATATTTATTGTTACTTGAGTCTTCTCCTTCAAAGCCATAGCCAACCACCAGAACGCCATGATCTAGATCCACGCTGCTGCAGCGCCGCTCATAATAAATGCCTGGGAAAGTAACACTCGATATTGGGATGAGGACCTCCAAGTGCAGGTGACAGTAACCCCGCAGATCAACTACAGTACGGAAGGCACCTCAAAATTCAGCTAAGTGACAAAACCAAGTACGATTTAAAAACAAGATCTTTTTTTTTTAAATCTAGGCTAGGGACTCAGGCCCTCATCTAATACTAGCAGAAATCTGAATTGGCACAATGTCTTTTGTAAACAATGGGTCAGTCAGGAGGCATAAAGACACTTCTGGAAGCCTTGTCATTCTATTTTTAGGATGTCAGTCTTAGGAAATAGCACAGAACACAAAATTACTTGAGTCAAAGGACTTCTATAGTTTTCATTACAATAGTAAAATTCTTCGGAAAATTTTAAAAGCTTAACAATTGGAAAAAGGTGAAGTATATTAAGCTATACCAATCAAATTATGTAGCCACTTAAATATATTTACAAAGTGCTTAAAAACATGAGGATATAGCTCAAGTAATGTCAAATGGAAGCACCTGGGAAAGATATTGTGTGTGCACAATGAACAATGATAAATCCACACACCCAGAAAGTATGCAAGCCAAAGAGTGAATCTTGCTTTAGGTCATGGTGGTTTTCCAGTTCTTCTGCCTAAATTTCTACATAGACAATGCTTACCATCTTCATAGAACTGGAAGCTAAAATGGCTTGCATCTATAGCCACCGAGATGGGCCCCACGGTTGCCACTGCCCTCATGAGGGCACTCTCCTGCCCAGGAACGTCCACGAAGCCAGTGACATTGGCAACAGAGTCCTCGGGCCTGTATCTGCAGGGTCCAACCTTTAAAGGTAAAGGGGAAGAGATCTCATTACTAACCCACCTCCCGGGAAGCATGAGTTTCAGGCAGGAGGCAGCTTCATGATTTCCAGGTTACGTCTGTGAAATGCTATTGGCTGTTTTGAAAATGAAAAACTAGCTGGTGTCTATTCATTGAGACGCTGTGGGTCTATCTCTCCATAAGAAGTGTTTCACTATAAAGAAAAAATTGCTGTATTTAGAATGGTATGTATGTCTCCATGTAACACAGAAATAAGAACTGTGAACATCCCAAACAGAACTGTTCAAGGCTGATATATTTTGATGGAAGTTCTGATGGTTTACATATATATACTCTGTAATCTAAAATATGAATTCTAAAAAAAATTTTTTTAAATATGAATTCTAAATATGGCATCTGTTTTCTATAAGGTGTTCAACTTTCAAAAGGAATGACATAAAGGTAAGAGCTTTGCTTACCGTTGCTTGATATGGATAGGAGTCCTCTGAGTCCAGGCCGCCGTTGGACTTCACATACTGGAAAGCATTATCCATTAGGCCACCATTGCAGCCCTCATTGCCTTGAGCCTGAGAGCAGTCCACAAGGTTCTGCTCACTCAGGGAGATAAGTTTGCCAGTTTTCCGGAACATCTGTCCCTCAAGGGCACCAGTTGCACTAAATGCCCAACAAGAACCACAGTGACCCTGAAAACAATATAGAAGCTCTCAGTCTACAGAACAAATAGCAAGATTTTGACAACTTTGCCAACTATGTGTAAACTCTTAAAAATTAGTGAAACACACATTGTCCCACAGTCTACCACAGCCATGACGCCAACTCCTTTGTGGCTTTACCTCTTGGAGAGAGACCTGCTGAGTTCTGTCATACCTGGTTCTTCACGGGAGTTACATAGCCTTCTTTTCGCCAATCCACCGTTGTGGGGATTTCAGCAATGTAAGGTTCCCGGAACACTCTCCTTTTCTTGCACTTCTGGTTTTGATAGCCATTCATCACCTGCGTGAATTCTTCCTTGGTCTTCAAAGAAAAAGAAGTAGAATGTTGTCAAGCATGGGATTATTTCAGTATAGTACTGAGTGAGAGGAAGCGCAAGGTAAGCCTCCCAAGCCACACTCACCATGTCACCAAAAGCGTTCATTGCCAAGGTGAAGTTCTGTCTCCCTAGGTTGTATTCCTGGTTGTGCAGGTCAATCATTTTCATATTCTTCTCCCACACTGTCCTCCTCCATCCTTCTTCATTCTAGAGGCAAACATATAACCAACCTATCCTTTTGATTTCTATTGAAAACCAAGTCACCTTCACCAAGTGGGTTTGCAGAAGAGAAACCATGGCCAGGAGAGGTTTCTACTTGTTCTCCAGCACACACACCAGGGAGGTTTGCCCATATTGTGCTCAGTAACGGGTGTCATGCAGTCATTGCCTTGGGAAGAGCCAGCCTCAAGAGCAGTGGTTCTCAACCTTCTGGCCCTTTAAATACAGTTCCTCATGTTGTGACCCAACCATAAAATTACTTTCGTTGCTACTTCATAACTGTAATGTTGCTACTGTTATGAATCGTAATGTAAATATCTGATATGCAGGATGGTCTTGGGCGACCTCAGTGAAAGGGTCGTTCAACCGCCATAGGGGTCGAGGCCCACAAGTTGAGAACCACTGCTCAAGAGGCTACTGTCTGCCCTAGCTGGTTTTGCTCAGTGGATAGAGCATAGACCTGGGGACTGAAGGGTCCCAGGTTCAATTCCAGTCAAGGGGTTCATATTCCCAGCTTGCAGGCTCCATCCCCCATAGGGGGCGTGCAGGAGGCAGCCAATCAATGATTCTCTCTCATCATTGATATTTCTCTCTCTCCCTTCCTCTCTGAAATTAATAAAAAATATTTTCCTAAATATATTTTTATTGATTTCTTTACAGAGAGGAAGGGAAAGGGATAGAGTTACAAACATTGATTAGAGAAAATCGATCTGCTGCCTCCTGCACGCCCCCTACTGGGGATCGAGCCTGCAACCAAGGTACATGCCCTCGACCAGAATAGAACCCAGGACCTTCCATCCACAGCCTGAGCTCTATCCAGTGAGCCAAACCAGTCAGGGCAATAAAAAAAAATTTTTTTTTTAAGCTACTTTCTGCTATAAACTCCAAAAAGTCTGGACCATTCTCTAAGGGGTCCCTCTGGGTAATTTCAGATGTAACCCACCGGGCCATATACTTTCCCATGCGTTGCCTTCCACTGTTGCCATTCTGCATCTAAACTTGCATCAAATTTTGGAGCAGATGAAGCTCCTCCTGGATTCATATTTCAAAACCTAGGGAGGGAAAAGAAAGTAGTATCTGATTACACCAATCCTCCTAGAAAGCCACCCTACCTTCTTGAGACGTTGCAGCCACCGGGTGTAAAAAATGAATTTATCCTCCCAAGTATGAATTTATCCCTCCCAAGGGCGGTGGAGGGAGGCTAAGCAGGTGGGTGGAGAAAAACAGCCCAGAGACCCCACTCCCACACCGGGACGGGGACACTCTCCCGACGCTCAGAGCACCGCTGGGGGGGGGGGGGGGGTGCGGCCCGCTCCCCGCTCCACACAAGCCCACCCACCGCTGCCACGAGCGCAGGGAGCCCAGCAGACGGAGGTCAGGCTGCCTTGCCCGTGGCCACGCCAGGACCCGGGACGGTGCCTCCTGGAACTCCCGAACCCTCCACCGCAAGGCTGGTTCCCGGGGTGGCCCAGCCGCGTCGGCCCGGCCCGCGACGCTCACCTTCGGGGCGCAGCGGAGCAGGCGCAGTCAGCACGTGCGCGTCCAGGAGCTCCGACGGCTGCTCCGCGGCAGCGGATTTAAAGCCTCGGGAATTCGGCCCGAGCTGCCCGCCCCCACGTGGCCTGCCGGCGCCTCCATTGGCTGATGGGGCCTGTGGGCGGGGCCTGCGAGCGTGGAATTCCAGGCACCTGATTAGGTTCGCACCGAATCGCCCCAGGCAGACCCGGGGGATTGAGGTGTGGACAGTGGCAGAGGCGAGAGGGGGGCCTAGGGGATGTGCTGGGGGGCCCAGGGCTGTGCTGGGGAGCTCAGCGCCTCCCTGGGAGCCGGGTCACCCATCACCCCGAATTCATGAGCTCAGCACGTGGTTCACGAAAAGAAAGGTGTGGGGAGCTCCCGGTGCTTTTTCAGCGTCCCTTGCCTGTCCTGGCATCTCCCCGAGGGCTGAGGACCTGACAATCTGGCGAGTGGTTCCCGTTTATCATACAGTGAAGGCCGGCAGGGTGCGAGAATGCAGAGCCCAGGGGCAGATGCGTTATCAGGGTATCAGGGTGTCAGGAGGGGTTCAGCTGGGCTGATGAAGAGTCGGGAGTGGTAGGCAGCACCCAAATCACTGGCCTCAAGGGCGGGCGCGGGCGGGTTCTCCTCTGAAGGCCTGGCATTTTGTAAGGCTCCTTTCCTGCCTTCCCGGTCAGGAGTCTTCTTCCCGCCCAAGCCTTTCTCAACACCGACAGAAAGGAGTTATTGACCGAAGAATTTCATTTAACAGAAGGAAGAGGAAAGGATGAAAGACGACGCTACTTTTACCTCCTCCTTCTGGGTTACGGATTGTCTTCCTCAACGTGCTTTTCCTGAGATTTCGTTTAAGAAATTTCCTTAAATGACATTTACATCAGTGATTTTTACTTTAACCTGTATTTAGTGTCAGGATTTAAATGAATCTGTGAAAAGGTTTTAAATAAAGAAAATATATTAAGTGTTAATGTACATAATTAAGAAGTCCCTAGAAACACTGTACGTTTTCCTTTTTTATTACATAAACAAACTCATTGCTGAAAATACCTCTTAAAAAATATACATCCTGCCCGTAACCGGTTAGGCTCAGTGGATGGAGCGTCGGCCTGCGGACTGAAAGGTCCCAGGTTCGATTCCGGTCAAGGGCATGTCCCCAGTAGGGGGTGTGCAGGATGCAGCTGATCGATATTTCTCTCTCATTGATGTTTCTAACTCTCTATCCTTCTCCTTTCCTCTCTGTAAAAAATCAATAAAATATATTTAATATATATATATACATCCTTGCCCTTGCCGGTTTGCCCTCAAACTGAAGGGTTCCAGGTTGGATTCTGGTCAAGAGCATGTACCTCAGTTGCAGGCTTGATCCCCAGTCCTTGCCCAGGCACATATGGGGGGCAACCAATTGATGTGTCTCTCTCACATCAATGTTTGTCTCTCTCTGTGTCTCTTCCCTTCCCTTCCACTCTCTAAAAATCAATGGAAAAATATCCCAGGAGAGGATTAACAACAAATATATATATCATATATATATCATTACCTCATGTTCCTTTCCACATCACCTTTTTCTATGCATGTTTTAAATTCTTTTGATAAAGATGGAATCAAGGTCCATGTGAATTTGTAAACTAATTTCTATTTAGCATTAAATTGATAAACCTAAAAGCACAATCAGGTGCATAATCTTTTTTTACTGTGATGATATGTATGTAACAAAATATCTATTTTAACTATTTTTAAGTGTAGAGTTTAGTGGCATTAAGTTCATTCATATTGTTGTCCAGCCATCACCATTGTCCATGTTCAGAACTTTTCATCTTCCCAAACTGAAACTCTATACTCATTGAACAATAACTCTGCATTCCTCCCTCCCCCAGCCCCTGGCAACCAACATTCTACTTCCTGTCTCTATAAATATGACTACTGTACTCTATTATTGACAAAAGGAACGTCCAAAACTGTAGAGAACTTCCCTGAGTTTATTTGAACCAAATTGACAACGTATGCCACGCAGCAAGACCTGAAATGCTCCAGAGAGTAACAGTTTTGCAGTTGTTGTTTTTAATCCTCACCTGAGGACATATTTTTATTGATTTGAGAAACAGGAAACATCAATGCGAGAAACATCTATCAGTTGCCTCCCATACACGCCCAGACTGGGCATGGAACCCACAACCTGGGTATGTACCCTGACCAGAAATGGATCCCACAGCCCTAGGGTGCACTGGATGACTCTGCAACCAACTGAGCCACAACAGCCAGACCTGCAGTTTCTTTTACGAATTTGAAATTAAGGAGGAAAGTAAGGAAGATTGGAGAAAGATTGGCGGGGATAGGATTACAGGACAGTTAAGATTTTGTGCTCTCTTGAGGGTTAATACCCCCTTTGAGAGGTATTGCTTCTGGCATTTCAAAGGTGTGTAACCTAGGTACACAAGAACAATGCACAGGGTGGGCTTAAAACCTTTCACCAAAGAAATTATAGGCCTCGGGCATGACTACCCACCTTGATCTGCACAGTTAGGGATTTATGATCAAATCACCCTCTTTCTTCCCCTTCACACTGGGTACCTCATATAAGTGGGATTACATAATATTTGTCCTTTTGTGCCTTGCTATTTCATTTAATGTAATATTTTCAAAGTTCATCCATGGTGTAGCATGTGTCAGAATTTTCTTTTTTTAAAGGTGAATTCCATTGTATGAATGTGCCATGTTTAGTTTAGAGAAACAAAAATTCATGCCTGAATAGACATGTGAGTTATGTCCACATTTTACTGTTTTGAATAATGCTGCTGCAATTGACAGTGTAGTACAAATGTTTGAGGTCCTGTTTACAATTCTGTGTGTATGTACATATTAAAAAATAGAATTGCTAGATATGATAATTCTATGTTTAATCTTTTTCTATGTTTTCCTCAGAGGCGGCACCATTTTACATTTCTACCAGCATTGCACGGGGTTGCCATCTGATATGATTTGCAAACATTTTCTCAAATTCTGTGAGTTGCCTTTGCATTGTATTGGTAATGTCTTCTAATGCACAAATGTTTTTTAATTTCTTTTTTTAAAATATATTTTATTGATTTTTTACAGAGAAGAAGGGAGAGGGATAGAGAGTTAGAAACATCGATGAGAGAGAAACATCGATCAACTGCCTCCTGCACACCCCCTATTGGGGATGTGCCCGCAACCAAGGTACATGCCCTTGACCGGAATTGAACCTGGGATCCTTCAGTCCGCAGGCTGATGCTCTATCCACTGAGCCAAACCAGCTAGAGGGCAATGTTTTTTAATTTCAATGAAGTTTGATTTGTCTATTTTTTCTTTGGTTGCTTGATGTCATATCAAAAAGATATTACTATGTCCAATATCAATATCCAGTAAGCCTCTTCCTTTGTGTCCTCATCTAAAGTTTTGTAGTTTTAGCTCTTACATTTGGGTCTCTGATGCATTTTGTGTTAATAATTTGCACATGGTATAAAGTAAGGTTACAACTTCATTCTTCTGTATATGGATATCTAATATCAACATTTGTTGAAAAGGTCACCCTTTCCCTACTGAATGGTCCTGGCAACCCCATATCATTTTAAAAAATCAATTTATTAAAATTTTTATTTTAGCTCTGGCCATTTTGGCTTAGTGGATAGAGCATTGGCCTGTGGACTGATGGGTCCCGGGTTCGATTATGGTCAAGGATACATGCTGGGGTTGCAGGCTCGATCCCCAGTGTGGGGCGTACAGAAGGCAGGCGATCAATGATTCTCTTTCATCACTGATGTTTCTATCTCTCTCTCTCCCTCTCACTTCCTCTCTGAAATCAATAAAAATATATATTAAAAATTTGTTTTAAGATCTTTGAGGAAATTGAAGCTCTTCTCTCTCAAACACAACTGGAGGCTGGAGCTTTTTAGCTTACAAAAATATATTGTATTGTAAATAAAGTGGAGGTTTAAGAATCGTTTTTTAATACACCAAGGAATTCAACACAATCAAGAAGTCTAACATAGGGGTTTAAAGTTGCCCTTGGAGCACAGTGGAGGGTGGGAAAACCTGTGATCACGTGAACGCCTGCACCTGAGGCAACAGCCTGTGCAGCAGGTGCTGCTCCAAAGAATGGCACCCCCTTTGTTTTTTGGAACGTGATACAAATGCAGTGGAGAAAGCATAGACTCCTTTTATAATAAATGGGCCCCAAATATAAATTTTTAAATTTTTTTTATTGATTTGTTAGAGAGAGGGGAAGGGGAGGGAGAGAGAGAGAAATCAAGGAGAGAACATCAGTAGGCTACCTCCTGCATGGCCCCTACTGGGGATCAAGCCATACCTCAGGCATGTGCCCTGACCAGGAATCCTCCTGTTTCCTGGGTCCATGCTCAACCGCTGAGCCACACCAGCCAGTCCCAAATCTAAAACTTGACCAAGAATCATCTAATGCCAGAGAAATATTGGAGAAGGCCATTTAAGCAAAAATTGTAACATTTTCACAAAACCTGTTAAATTATGTATTAAAGACCGCATTTTCTTCTTATCTCTACTCTTCTGTGCCAGTTTCTTTGTTAGATAACTCAGATGAGTGCTATTTATTCAAATGGCCACATTTTATATAAGTGACCAGTCCTTAGCTCTGCCTTTGATAAAATACAGTTGGCAGATTTCCCAATTTTTTTAAAAAATGAAATCTCTGAGAAAGTTTATTTTTGTGTGCATCTGTCTAGATTTCTTTTGCCTGCTAGAAAAACAGTATATAATTCTCTACCCCATCTCTGGAAGTTTTAAACCATAGGGAAATGAACAAATCTAGTGTGGTGGTATTCAAGATCCTGAAGCCACTTAACACTTCTCCCTAATATAACAGCTCCTTCAATTTGTTTTAAGTCAATGAACCAAGACTTACTTTTATAAAGCATTCTCCAGACAGCTGTCCACTTGTTTTGTGGTGTGGATTCCAGATACAATGGCATGGGTTCAAATACCAAATA